GGCTCCCCATCATTGATTAACTAAAGATTTTTGATAGAGAAACCTCTATAAAGGGCTTGAGGGTCCTGGCAGAAGAGAAGAAGCATTATGAAATGCGAGACTGGATTAAAAGAGGGTCAAGTTGCTAAAAGCCACTTCCAAACTATGTAATCAGTGACCCAGACTCAAACTGTTTGTGTGCTTCCTCCCTTGCAGTCCTTTTGCTGCTGTTGTTATTATTTTTGGCCTGGGAGAAATATCTTTCTGAGTCCATTTCACCTTGATGGATTATGATGCCATTTTAAATGTCAATTGATAATAACTGTGCCATAGGAAAAACAAAAACAACATAAAAATGTTATCAGTTTAAACCTACAGTGTCCCTTTTATTAATATTTTTAATTTATGAGCTTGTTGAGAAATCTGTGGAGTTAACAGGGCTAATAAATCTGAGGTTAAAAGGACTCCAGAAGGCAGGCTGCATGAGTTTTCTGCTAGATCATTGCCAGCTGTTGAACTTTGAGAAGATCAGAGCAGCTGTCACTGAGGAGATTGTTAGAGTCCAGTAAGGCGTAAAGGATGGAAGACAGCCTACAAGGACATGAAGCTCCAGAGGTGATGTGGGCAATTTGCAGCCCAAATTTGCACTGTTGCTGGAAACTGCTAGTGCACCTATGCACTATTGCCCCTGACTGCCTGAGCTCATGGACTTGCTCTGAACAGCTGACTGAGCACAGGCACTAAGAGATGAGGTGTTGTCAGCTGCAGCATCCATGCCGTGCATAAATACCAGACAGCTCTGACTCTGAGTCATATACAAAAGCAGGAGCTTAAAGGAGAGGCTTCAGAGGTGTTGGGTGGAATATTGTCCCGTTACCATCTTTAGCCAGAGGAAGAGACCAGTGGGGAAGCAATGGTCATAATTCCTGACTGATAGCATAAATAAAGTTATTCTTCCTCTTTGAGACAGGCCATATAGGACAAAAAACTCCCAAGTATTGATCCAAAGTTGATTTTGTGTCAGCACGTCCAGGATTTTTCACTTTCTGAAAGCACATCGTATTTTAAAAACCTCACAGGTTTAGTGGAACTCTAGATTTGCCTGGCACAGGCAGGATAAGTTGAGAAAATCAACATGGCATGATTTTGTTCTGGGCAGCTGCCTTCTGGTGTAAGGAGTTGCCTTCAGAGCTCAGCAACCCCAGGGGAAAGTGGGTTTCTGGCCTCAAGGAATTTATAGACTAAATTAGAGAGGTAGCACAATAATTGTAAAAAATGAGAGTCATCTGCATTTCCAGGTCAAGCAGAAATGTAAAAAATATCCCCAAACTACCCTACAAACCCTATCATATTAGAACTTGGCAGAAAAATAACTTCTTCATTCTTTGTTAATTTAAAAGTAAATAATTTCTTGTTTTGAACATAAATAATTTGTTATATTTCAGCAACTCAATCATTTCAAAAAGGGGGTCAACTGAACTATTTTAATTTGCAAAATGTTTATTTGCATTTCAAGTTTCTATTTTTTGGCACTCATCTTTATTTTAACATTATACCAAACAAAGAAATTCCAAACTAGCAGCCATTCCAAAGAAATTATTCCATTCTTTTAGTTAATTAAATAGTATTTATAACTATTTTTTCATTTTTGTATTAAAAATATTAAAATGTCCAAGTCTTTCAGTATTACTTAAATATTTTGGTATCAAATCTGCATTTTTTTCTGAAGAAACTTTTGTATGCAAAACATGGGATTTATGCATCATTACACTGCTGCTTTCTAATCCTCTTTCAAGAGTTGTCACTTATTCATCCTATTTCCTACTTTAGTGCTTGTTGTATTATTCTACATAGAAGAACAAAAATATATTTCTCAGTTGGCATTGCCTTCAGTTTTAATAAAAAGAACAATGCAATAAGATGGAACAAAAATAAAGCCTTCACAAGGAAGCTTTCAAGTTGTAAATTTGCATCTGCGCATCTTATTTAAACACACACAGAAAATCAACTTGTCCCTGCGAGCAGCAGGGAGGTTTGAAGTTGCAAAGTAAGATGGAATAGTTATACACATACATGGTTTGATTTTGCGACATGGGACTACTGTGTTGCCTCAGCAGGTGCCTACCCAGAGCAAGCTGGCGGTGGTGGAGACAAGCAGCACACACTGTCTGAATATGGAGGTACTCTGGTTTCACTTGGTTCGTGTTGTCAGTGTGATCATTGAATAAAGGTATTTCACCAAGGTGAAAACTTGCAGTGTGCCTGTCTCAGTTCTCTATTCTTCAGAAATTTTTTTTAATGTGGAAGCACACAGGTTTCTTCTGGAGCAGATGTAAGCATTCACAGACATGTAACTGCCAGAAGGCTACATTTCTTCCTTTCAAAACGATGTGTATTTAACTCAACAAAAATGGAACTGGAGCAAAGAGGAGGGATAGGAGGTGTATTTTTGCCCTGAAGTCTCTAGGCTAATTTACCCAGCCAGTGACCTACAATGGTATGAGTCCTCTCAGGAGTGTTTGGACCCATCAGACTTTCTCATGAAATACTCCTCCTCCTTCCTCCCCTGCAGCAAGAAATGAGCCCCTTGAACACAAAGAGGCTTTAATAACAAACCAAAGCCAAAGCTTCCCCCAGCAAAGGAAAATGTGTCCTTTCTTGGGCTTCAATTGGCAACTGAAGCAGACAAATGCATGGGCTTCACTCCTGCACCTATATAGAGCCTTTAGAAAAATGGACAGCAGGGGAGGCTTAAAAAAACAGAGGTTCCTGGTCCCGAGAGCTGGTCACCCTGTGCCTGAAAGCTTCCAGGTGAAAGGTAGTACAGTAAACATCAGAGAGTCCAGACACTGTCATATATGCTAAATGAATACACTGGAGGCTGAACCAAGGATATTCAACTCATGACATCTGGGAAGTGAGTAAGATTTGAAGACATTACTCTATAGGAAGCCAGTAAAAGCAAGAAGTAGCCCCCTTTTTAGTGCCTTAGGCAAGCTGAGTAGAGAAAGTAAGACATTTGTAAGAGAATGCACCAGATTTCTGCTCATATTTTTTCATGTTTTTTGAATCAGGAATCACAAAGAAAAAGGAGAACCTTGTTATTAAATAGGCAGCTTTCATCCAGGGTATAGATTCAGAGCATCTTTCTTTCCCTTCCCTTTGCATACAAATGGTATGCTCACCTCTTCTCAGTCCATAAATTAGCCACTCTCTCATTCTGCCTAAGCAGAGAAGGTTAAGATATCCCTCTTCATACACCCAGCCATAATTACAAGCATGGGCAACAAAGCAGGAGAGGACAGCTTGGCCAAAGCGATATCCCCCTGAATGCATCAATTGAAACAGCAAGTTGTCCTCTCCTTACAGAGAGGGCCACAAGACCTTTCAGAGCCACACAACAGCTGCCACTTCATCACACAACCAGGAAGACCTGAGATCCTCCTTTACACAAATGGCTTCATTGAGCCACTGGGCAGAAGAATGCAAAGGGCACAAAGAAAAGCACTTCACACTGTCTATCCTATGCATTTCATCAGTGTGAAAGACATTCGCTTGTCTTCCCTGTTGCCTGGGGAGAAGCTTGATTAATAAAATCAGATAATTAAATACTCTTCACCATGACAGGCTGCACCATTTTTTACCTCCTTCATTGTTCTTTTCCCCACAGCCCCCACCGCTTTTCCACTATCTTTAATCTGGAAAAAGCCAAAAGCCTTTCATCTTATCAGGTGTGGTTTATTGCCCCCTGGTTACACAGTAATTTTGGTCTGCACTCCATGAAGAAGTCATATGATGGGATATCAGCTCAAGAATTGTCAGTTCATTGGACAAATAAGGCAAAGCCTGCCAATACAATTATAAGAGCCTGATAAGGAAGGCGCAGAAGAGAACCAGCAGGAGAGGGAGACACAGCCATAGCAATTTAAAAGGTGAGGGGCAATCCCAGAAGAAGGCAAGAAATGCCAGTGGGAGCAGGGAGAGGGAAGGAATGTGAGTGTATCTAACTACACATTCTTCCCAAAAGAAAAATTAACAAGAAGATAGAAGTGGCTCAGGAGAGGAATCACTGGCATTCATCTGCATTATCCAGGAAATCTCCCCGAGGTGGACACCTGACTGGGAGGTGCAGGTGGCCGATGGTGATTGTCAAGCTAGCTTGCCTCATAGCTCAGGAGAGAAAATAAAATAATGTTTTATTTTAAGGGAGTACAGGTAGGGGGCAGAGGGCACTAATTCCTATTCCTAAGCATTTTTCAAGGGGCATCTCTTTTTCTTCTGTGGCTGATAAGATGGGATGATGTTGGAAAGCACCTGTTTGGAAAGTTCAAAGGGTTTCCAAAGTAGAAGAAAAGATAATCTGAACCAAAGCTGATGGCGGGGGGATGGCTGAAGGATAACCTGAGAATTGCTGGTGATGGAGGTTTCCACATGTGACACCTCTTTGTATGCAAAAGAAGTTTACAAGGTGTCTCTCTTGCTAGTAAATGGCATGAGGGACAAGTACTCATCCTGTTGATAATTTTCTTAACTCCGTAATAGTACAAATCCAGTGGGCTTGTCACAGATTTCAGCCTGAAAGCAGAAAAGGGGGATAACTGCCCCACAAACAGGATTTACCAACAAGAAGCAACAGTTCCCAGGGCACTTTTCACCCAGGTCTGTGAGAAACGCACCTCCTCCTGGGTTGGCCGTGCGATTGTTCAGAGCTCTGTAAATTTGCACCAGCTGGGGGATGTTCAGCAGTGGGTGGGGTTGGTAAGACTTTTCACCTGCACTTCTAATGCTGTCTTCCCCAGACACTGGAGCACAGGTTTTGCTCCCAAGCTGATCAGCAGAGAGGAGCAGGAGTGTGTGCTCACTCGTGGGTCATCTTTGTTTCTCCTCTGGGTGTTCTTGCAGGTTGGCTGGGCACAGGTGGGTAGAGACGTGCACCTTTCCAGCTGCATGTTTCTCGGAGTGCACCAAGAGCCAGGAGAGAAGGAGAGGACTCTCTGTCCTGTGGCCACTTTGGCAGGAAGATGACAGACCCCCAGGAGTGTGCCAGCCAGGGGAAGCCCAGCCTGTCCTTTTCCATTGAGGAGATCTTAAAGAAACCTTCTACCGGCACCTCCTTAAGCAGTGAAACCAGAAACAGAAGTAACTACGCTCAGAGACCTCCAGCCCTAAAAGCAGGGTCACCACTGGCCTTTGGTAAGTACCAGTTACAACACTTAATGAAAATGTGCCTCTCTTTTTAACCCTTAAAGGTATCCCATTTAATTATGTAGAAATTTTATTCTTTAGCTTTTGTAGAAATCTGGAATTTCCCTAATCAGGTACAAAAAATTCATTATATATACAGAAGTAATCTTCAAAAAATAATTTGCTTTCAACCTCTCAGTAAACTGGGCTCTGTTTCCAGCCTTTGGTGGGATTTCATACATTATAAACCCCCAGTGTCATTGGAGAGGTGGGTTTGCAACCTGAACAGTTATTGTGGGTAGCTCTCTTCAGTAAGAGTGAGAAGTTTTTATTGTAAACAAATACAACATCCTGGTGTCCTTCCCTTTAAAAAACAATACTCTTGTTATTAAAAAAAAAATCCCCTGTCATAAGGAAGGACAGGCATTCAAACTCAGGAAGCTAGCCTAAAACTGCTGCAGCTTAATGAAGTTGTTGGAGTTTCACTTAGATCAAGAGCTGAGTGTTGTCTGGAATTACAGCCAAATCTCATATCTGTACCATTTTCTGATAAATCCGACCACTCATCCTCAAGCAGGAGAAATGGTCTGTAAGGGTAATGGTAGCTAAGAAGTGTCAGAACCCAATTGCTGGAACAAGAAAAGAGAAAGCATTTGTGTTTAATCATTTCTCCTTATCATCAGGGACACTAGGTTCTTTCATGAACTAAATAAAACCAGCTAGTAGAAAATGAGCATGAGTTCAATCTTAGCAAATCAGCAAGTGCATTAGCCTTTTTTACTTCATTTTCCTCATTTTAGTTACTTTGGCCTTCAGTGAACTTTTACTACCACAGAATTATTTTTTTTTTTCCTTAAACAAAGACCAGTGGCCAACATTTTCTGAATTTAGTATTTCTTCTTTTTTAATCTACATCTTCCTTTAAAAGGAGATTTTATGTATACAAACACATTAACTTAACTGAAAAATTACTTGCAGTTTTGACTTAAATTTTTCACTCCTCTCTTGCTCAACTGCTTTCAACAAAGTTTAATGCTACATTTCATTTTTTGTAACACAGAAAGGGCTTTTAATGGATCAGGACCCCATTTCCCAGGACACTGAGTGAACTACCCAGTACTAAGGGAGAGAATCTTTTTCCAAAAACCTGGCAGTCCAAGTAACCATTGCTTATTTGCATAGTTTCATCTTTTTTTATGTCCAAAATGGATACTGACCTGAACTGGAAAGCAAACAAGACCTAAATTGGGAAGGAAAATAGAGCAAAATGAGTACCACACTCACTAGTGTAAGGTTAGTCACCAGTTGGGCATGAGCCCAGTCCCACTAACGCTGCCTCTCAGCCGTGCTTTGCACAAGATTTGCACTTTCTTGCTCACCTCGGACACAGGGCAACATCACTGTCTCTGTATGGAGCTTGTTTCCTGACCATGGGGCAGAGCCAGCCCACAACACATCTCACAGCCATGGGAGCCCCAAGCATTGGGGCTGAGCATACAAGCAGTGCCTTTGTGTCGCTATCTGTGGCTTCCCACAGGTGGGGGATGGGGGAAAGTGTGGGGGAAAGGGAGAGTGTGTTGCTGAATTTTCACAGAACCAGAAGATGATGGAGGTTGGATAGAACCTCTTGAGGAAGTCAAGCCTGCTGCTCAAAGAAAGGGCAGCTTCAAAGATAGATGAGGTTGCTGAAGGCCACAGCTAGTGTTGCTCAGCTGATTCACCACTGGTACTGTTGGAGAACTGCAGCATTTAGAGGTTTCCTAAAGCTGCCAATGCAGATCAGACATGTTTTAAATATGGTCCTGAAACAAGTGAAATCTTGGTAGTTTGTAGGGGCAGACAAGGACATAGCTGATGCTGGTGCAAGTATAATGGGGCCCAGGTGCTGAAGGAGCCCAGGTGCCAGGTTGACAAGGGGGGGGGAATGCTGGCATGAGGTCTGTGGGAGAGAGCTTTTGTGAGCTGAAAGTCCTTCCCAGAGGGCCCATGACAGTCAATTTGTGCCACTGGATCCAAAGTGAGACAGATAACACCACTGAAAATGAAGTCAGTGCTGTTCATAACATGGACCATAGAACTGCATTTTAACAACATGAGACTCTTCTCTGGGAACAGAGAAGCGTGGCAGAGACAGAACCTTTTTATATTAAGTCCATTTCGCGATCAATATGTTGAAGCCCTGTTTCACTGCGTGTCTCGGCTAAGCATGCCGCTCCAATCACAAGGTCTGACAAATCTGTATGCAGGATGTGGTGGGTTCCTAGGATTGCATTACTGCACTGCTAGTACTGTCTCATCCCAAATTACTCCACCTGAGAGTACAGTCAGTTTTTCACCTTGAAAGCAATGCAGGCAGAACAGTCAGGCCTTGCCTTTAACTTTGCTTCATCACCTAGCCAGAGAAAGACTGTAGCTGCAGCAAGAAAATATAGTGACTCTTCTCTCCCCTGCTAGAAAGCAAGGGTGGATTAGTATACTTAAGACAATGTTAAATGTTAACTAATGAAAATAGTATATACACATGAAGATTCACTTAACCGTCACTGGAGCTAGGAAAAAAGGAAAGCTGTAGAGATATTCCAAAATGTTGTTGTACGTTGCTTTTGCAATTGATGAAAGATGTTTAAAAAATAGGACGAAAATTAAGCTTTTTCACTGTTGGTTTCTTACTAACACCAAAGTGATACCCATGCTTATTACCCTTTGCTTTCCCAGCAGAACTGCTGATTTTTGCAGATAAGGTTTATTTATTTCATTATGTATGCCGTACATCTTGGGATAATTGCTGTATTTCATCAAAGTCATTCAACTTCATGCTATATAACACTGGCATTAAACAAGTTGTGTAAATAATCAGCTATATCTAATTTGGCTCATCACTGACCGAGGTCAGGGAACTGAAATGAGCTGGGGAACTTGTTGGAAATTCCAGGATGGGACACAAATCCAGCTGCTTTCCCAGAACATTTCGTCAGCAACAAAGAAGGAAGTATAACAGGTCAGGGCTGAGTTATATTTCACTACAGATTTTACGAACATTTCCCACATCCCGTGTGGTATGTACCTAAGCCAAGCTATGATCCATATGAGACCAAGGAGTGGCATCACATACATACTCATGGCTACCATAAATTAAATACCCAGGCTAGAAATTATCATCCAGTTCATCTAGGCAGTCTAAGTACCAAGATCACACTTGTCCTGAAGTCTAAATCTAGTCATTAAGAGCTGAGGAGATGGATAGGACTAGAGGACCAGAAGATGCAGAATCAGAAATGAGGGACGTCGTAGACAAAGCTTACGCTGGAGTCCTTTTCCAAGAAAAGCCAGAGGTGCTGGACCAGATGATTTCTAGAGCTGCTTGTAACTTAAATAATTCCATAATTCTTTGACGAAAAAAAGATGTTGTAATGTACGTTGCCAGCGTCTCATGGAAAGCTGGGGCAGGACTTGATCATGTATGAGAAGATCTCTGGGCCTGACTCCTAAGTTCACATGTTTTTGTGAATGTAATTCCAGTGGGACTTGGAATAAGGAGTGTGCAGTCTTCTCAGGAGTGTGTAACTTCCCAGTTGCAGTATTAGCAATTTGTGAGTTTTCCACACACACACAACTACTAGATGACCTGGGACTGCAGCTGTTAATCTGAAATCTACTGAAATTTTTGAAGGACTCTTACCAAGTTAAAAAGGGAACAGTGAACAAGAAGACATTTGAGTATTCAATCTATGCTTTCCTTCTCTTCTTTTTGTCACAGTGCCTAGAAAGGCTAACCACGGCCTTTGCAAGGGACACAAATAAACACCCAGCAATTGCTGATTCCCTAGTGCCAATTCTCTCATTTCAAACAGAGAAGACTAGCAGACCTATTTCAGAAGAAATCCTTCTTCTGAAATCCCTGGGAACATGATTTCAATGTGCTTGAAAGCACCTCTGAAATAATTGTTCATTACTCCTCCAGTTTCTGCCAGTGAGGTTCTACCAACAGGAGGTCCTTTATCAAGTCACAGAGAGCTTCAGATGAGGACTTTAAACCCAGGAAATTAATAGTAAATTCAGTAATAGATACAATAATTCTTTCATGCTGCTTGTGTTATCCCCCATTATATTAAGGATATGCAAATCAATAGGAATACAACTGCCACTTCACAGACAAATGTCAATACGATGATTGTTTACTTCACCCTTAGCAACACTCCACCTAGTTTTATTGTAAAAGAGGAAAGAGCTGAAGGAATAAAACTAAGCAGATACCACCTGCCCCATATCATCAATTTACCCCACCTATTACAAGGAAAAACAATCCACTTAAAAAAAAAAAAAAAAGTTATTGAAGCAAGAGAAAAGCAGCACAATAAAAAGCTGCTTGCAGTTCCCAATGACAGACTCAGACTCTTCCCTGTTCACAGCCTTAGTAACACCCTAAAATCATTAGCCTTATGTCTACAACAGGTCTGTCTCTCTCCAGTGATTACACAAAAAGCCTTAAATGGAACTTGAACCATCTGAAATAACCTCCTGCTTCCAAAAAAAAATATTACTATGTTACTATCTTCCCTGAAATTTCCCATCCTTTCCTATGCAACTGAAAGTCAAGCCAAAAAGACCATTTTGAGCCACAAGTCAAAGTCATTCCTGTGAGTGACAGCTACAAATACCTCATGTTGTGCCAGGCTCGGGGTGGGGAAAGAAAGAAAACTGCATTCCCTGGAGGAAATTTTACCCCGTGCCAATTCATAGCTATTTTTCAGAGCTCTCTACTGGAGTCACATGAATATGCACTGAAAAATATTGGCTGGCCTAAAGAGCTACCACTTCAGGCAATCTCCTTGCTTGTTCAGAACAGCAAGAACCAGAGAAGGTTGCAATGCAACAGGGCTAGGCTTTGAGGATCCTAACTGTCAGATATGTGCTTTAAACTCAGTAATATCAACCTTCAATTTCATGCTCCAGAAAACTGCCTTGATTTTTCCAGTATCTCTTTAAGGTTCATGCCACTCTAATTGGTTTCTTTGATCTCAAACAACAGATCCTCCCACTCCTTTTCACCAGTTCACAGACATTGGTATTTTCCCATCTGCCCAAGACAGTCTTCCATTTTTCTCTTCCTGTTCTCTTCCTGTTTTCTCTTCCTCTCTCTCCCTGTTTTCTCTTCTTCAGTCCATAAATATTCTATCCGTGCTCATACATAAGTCGTGCTCATCACTAGGGTATGTGAGCATCTCAGAGAAAAAATCTGGGGAGGAAAGTTGTGCATGAAGCATGAAGACATGTGAAAAGTCTTCTATAATTTAAAAAGTGCAAGTTTTATTCTTAGAAAGCTTTAACCACTGCCCAGAATTGCACCTTGCTCAGGTACCCTCATGTTCTTCATTACTGTAGGATATAAGCACTATCAGCTCTGTAACATATTCATGTTTGCAGCATCCCATCTAGCAAGGGAGTGAAACTAGTCCTTAATTTAGGAATGGGGCATTGAGATAGAAATCCTTGGCTAAGAACCTATGCTAACACTGATATCCTCTGAGTTCTCAAGCAAATAATTTAACCTCAACCCCAAACTAACCCCTAACATCCTAACCCCAACTCCAGATCTATCCTTCTCCTTTATACCACAAATATTGTTCAAAAACCATTTCTTTAAAACCTCACTCGCTTTCTCACCAGAAAACTCAAACCTAGTTTATCCTAAAAGAATTAAGTTAGACCCATTTTGCACAATATGCCTCAAACATAGAGGTGGACCTCATACCAGGTTTTTGAGGTCAGCATGGCTGGACACAAGCAATTCTGTTTAAAAGTCTACCCATAGATTGGTGATAATTTGAAAAGATAATATTTGAACAACCATCCTTAGTTGACATGAGGATTGGCTAATTTCCAGAGCTCTTGTAACTGCATTTTCTTCATGTTAGTGTCAGCCCTCTGTAAAATTCCTATTGTGTGGGCTTTTACTGAGGGCAGAATTGGGCACTTTGTCTCCAGATGTTTTAATTATCATTGCTCCAAGGCTGGTTACAAATAGAACTTGTTATTCGCTCAGAAAATAAAACTCTGACAAGTCTAAAAAGTTAGATGTTGTACTGATGCTAGATACTGCACCAGAAGTAAAACACTTATTAAAAAAATTGAGTTTCTTCCAGCACAACCTGTTGGGGTTCACACCGCTGCTATTTCAATATGGGAGGATAGAGGGGAACAGCCACAGGTGCTGCAAACCCCAGAGCCTAGATGTGGGTGACCGCGCAGGAGTGCAGTTCATTATTGCATTAAGTTTTTAATGTTCTTTGGTGTTAATAGCAGCCAAAACTGTGTTGTCAAATTCACTTCAGGGTCATGCTCACCATGGAACCTAAATTCCACAATGGGTTCATTATGCTTATGCGTTGCATCTTATTATGCCTTTCCAAGCAAAGAAATCCAGGCATGAAGGAAAACTAGATCAAATTCTAGGTTTGCTATTAAAGCAGCACAGATCCAGTTATCTTGCCTTTGAAGAGTCAAGCCTGAGCCTTGATTACATCTACCAAAGGCAACACATAAAGCACTCGGAATTGAGGCTTATAGTGAAGCTTCAAAGTAGTGGGTAGGAGAATGGAAGTATTTTATATACCTCTCCAGGGATGCTAATAGCCACAGACAGCCCACTGCCTTAAACTACAAGGTTTCCCAGCATGTTATATTTTAGTGCCTGGCTTTGCAAGGTCCACTTACCTTTATAAGAAAGAGTAAGGACTCATACTACGTTCATGAGAGCAGAAAACTAATCTGAAAATCTTTGCAGTGCCCCTGCTGCACACAGAAATGATGGTGTTAGTATTAAGGCAACACCATGACAAAAGAAAGATCGTGGCTTCTGTGGCCAATTTCATCACCACTCATGGTCAGGGGTCCTAGCACACATCACCACTTGTTGTTGCTGAGATTACCTTCAGCTTCCGCTTAAATTGTTTATAAGACTCATGATCAAATCTAAGATAAACTTATGGGTGCATTTCATGAAAATGGGCCAATATGCACTTCTCTTATGTTTGTCATATCAACAAGCGTGTGCAGGTGATTTCATGAAAATGAGTTGGCTATCAGTACCTTCCTAGATATCACCAGTGTCACTTGTCACAAAGGCAGTTGGGAAATGTTGACAGCCTGGGCAAAGGCTGCTTTTAGATTTATCTAATGCCTACATCTGAGTGGCAGGCAGCCCAGATACAGAATAAAGAACAAATGCAACTGAATCAGGGAAGACACTATTCTCTGGCCCGTCTTCCTATAAGGTAGATGTACCTACAGGGAGAAGAAAGATTTAAGAAAGGACTAGATTTTTAAGAGCATTTGGCATCCAGCAAATTCCACAGCAATCTTGCTGACAGATTTTCAGAGCAGCTCCCCATCTACTATATTTCTGAGTTCTTCAGAAAAGGCGGCCACTGATTTGGATACTGACAGGGAAGCTGATATCTGCTGATATACACCTGCCTGATATCATCAATTCACCCCACCTATTACAAGGGTAGACAATCCACAAAAAAAAAAAAAAAAAAAAAAGTATAGAAGCAAAAGAAAAACAGCACGACAAAAAAATTGCTTGCAGTTCTCAGTGACAGACTTCCTTGTTCACATCATTTGGTTGTGTCTTCTCACTTCCACAGTCCCTTTCTGAAAATCTCCCACAAAGACCATTGAAATTTTTAGTGTGGAAGAAAACAGATAACAGGCTAGATTTTGGGGTCAAATTCACCAGAATCATGCCCTTGCAACATGGGGTCATTCTGGCATTGATGCACAGCACAGAAGGGTTAAGGCCATTTTAAATATGATCAGGTTTGAATGGTAAAGTACCTAGACCACACCCATGCTTCTTTTTTTCACACAAACTGGAAGGTGTGCTGAATGACAGTTGCTTTATGCAAAGCTGTCTTGTGCTGTGTCCTTTACAGATTCCAGCAGCAGGAGTCAGTTAGACTGTGAATTACCTTCAGCCAAAATGCTTCTCCCTGCCACATGTGCTACACCCATGGTCAGGGTAAAGAAAGCACAGGCAGCTCACTGCAGGAGATCCACTGACAGCCCAGCTTCCCTCCTGAGTAAGGACACAGGACATGAACACCTGGAAGGTAAAAGAAAACATGAGGAAGAAGACGATCAGCTATGCAATTTCCCAGTGGATCATCTACTTCATGGTGAGTGCCTCTATATCCAGACTTTCTCCCAGAGTACCCAAACACACAGCTTTTGTCTTACAGTGATGTACATGGCAATACCTAGAAACAGACATCACAAATATTTCTATGGCTAAGCTCCTGGCTGAGTCACAGGGATGGCTCTCCAGTCTAAAACATGGCGACTCACCCTTTGAGCTAAAGATCTAGGTCAGACCTGCCAACCCTACCAATTCTAGTTCTAGGGACTGCTTGGAGTGTTTACTGCCCTCCTACTTGGGGTGGCACTCTACAGAGTTACCGTGTTCAGCAGACTCGCTCCCTGGGTTGTGCAATGCTCGTTTCCTGGTAAATGGACATTGCACAACGTGGGGAGCGAAGCTGCTGAACATGCCGAATCAGCTTGATGTGTTCTGTACACCTTGGACCCACTGTACAGGTGATGAAGAGGTCATCAGCATGCGCACAGGTAAACTGTTGATGTGCAATAGGACTGACGTGCAGGATGTGTCAGGCACAATTTTCAAGCCTGGCCATCTTAGCAGGTCTGTTCATTTCATCAGTTGTGAGCACCGGTAAACAGTAGCCTGTCTCTTAGCCCAAGCAAAGAACAGTACAAATATACTTTGTTGCACAGAGCCTTTAAGCTAAGCAGGACGCATGGTATCTGAACAAGACAAGTTCCTAACAGACAGACTGCAATTTATTAGTAAGATGTGGCAAAACCTGCTTTAAGTTCTTTGAGTTTTAGGAAAGGTTAATACAGACAATCATGCTAAACTCCAAAAAACAGGTTCTCGGTAGCAGCAGTAAGAGGTTTCCTGCATAGTTTGTTTTTATACACTCCTTCCTGAAAGAAAAAAAAAAAAAGCAATTTCAAGTAAGTCCATTGAAGATTCCTAATGGTCTTGTGTGACCACAGATGCAGCTGTGACAGCAGACTCAGCTGGCTTCACTGAGCCATCTTCACATATCTTCCTCATCCCATACTCTGCAAGTTGGCAGAGGAAACATTTCTTTCTGTGAAATACATTTGGAAGAAAAGCCTTTTCCTGCTGCTGCTGCTGTGGTATACATGAGTCTTGTGACAAGCTGCTGCCACCTCCTCCTCCTGCACAAGATGGTGTCTGTCTTGATGCAGAGAGAAGCCTTGTAAGATAACTGGATATTTTAGCCTATCTCTGCCCTGTAAGCTGCATGAAGCTGATGGCAGCAGGGCAAAGTCAGGTTGCCTCCTCGCAGAAGAGCCAGGGTTGTAAGTATCTGGCACTCAGAGTTGCCTGTGAGTGCTAAAAAGGAGTTCATTTCAGGCAGGAGGGTGTTCCCAGCCACAGGGATCACACCAGAGCTGGGAGGTGGCTTTCCCAGGGTGACAGAGGAGGGAGGTGGCTGTCTTGACTCAGCACTTAGCCTCACTGACCAGCGCAGTGGTTGCTACCAGCCTCATCAGCAAAGCAGGGGGGGAAGGATGTAATTATCTGCAGAAAACTAATCCAAACTGAGCAGGCCCTTTCATTGACAACTTATATTTTAAAGGCATTTTAAACAAAATCTCTCAGTTCCCTAGTGGCAGTGGGGTTTTGAAACCAAGCAGAGGTTTAATGATCTGCCATTTTCTAGGCTACTGGTTCCTGCAGTTGCTGATCCTTTGATAGAAATTGGATGAAGGAGGGGGGAGGATCCTAAAGCACCGGATTGGCATTTTCCCCATGGTGCACAGTGCTGTTTTGGATCCCGTTCACACACTGTGTCATTCTTAACAGAGAGCTGGAGGCCAGGGTTTAAAATCCTTTCCAGCATCATAAGCTTCAGCCTTCTTCCTCCCCTTTATGTTAGCGGGAAAGAGCTGGTGGCTTTTTTTTTCCTGCCTCTGGCTGTGGCTGGAGTCACCTTTCCCACACAAGGTCAGCAGCAGCACCTGAAGGAGAGGTAGACTACACCATCCCTGGAAGCAGTCTGTAATCCTTACAGTTTGAACTGACAACAAGTTAACTTCTGTTTCCATGCCTATTGACTCTGTGGTGCTTCAGACACACTTTTGGCGTGGTAGCTATAGGCTAGTCACGGGTCCTCTAACAAGGCATCTGGGCAGTGCCAAATGCCCATAGCATCTGCTATGGAGGTGTCCCCAGGACCTCCTTCACACCCACATCAAGAATGCCTACAAGCACCTGGGGGAAACAGCACCAACCTCAGCAGCAGGAGAGCTTTCTGATGTGAAAGACATCAGAAGTCCTTGGCTGGGAGTTCCCTCACCTCTTTCTCACAGTCTGCCTCTATCTATATAAAACACCTGCATAATTTGTGAGGAAGGGCACTGGGCTCTGACTATACACATCTGTATAGCTGTCAGGGAGCAGAAGAAATCAAGCGTGCTATACAATCACCTTGGAGGCGGGAAGGGTAAGGTTTGTCTGGTGCTTTTTTGGACAGGAGGAGAAAGAGGATGAGGAGGCTATGACAATATAACCTTCATGGGCAGGTGGTCTGAGATAGCAAGAGCACCCTGACTGTGACCCTGAGTGTGAATTTGGAGCATATTTCCAGGAAAACCTGTAAAACTGTAGTGTTCCTAAAAATTTGCTTTTCCCACAAGCTGGCTTCTGCAACTAAGTGGTTTAGAAATGCAGTCTCATTTAAGCTAAATAGATTTATGCACTTACCACAAACCATTTACAGGAAGCAAAGCCTCTCGCACTTTGAACTTAGAGGCTGTATTATAAGCAAAAAAAGAGAAAAGCCCTCATATGCTAGAGATATGCTGACAGTGGCATTTAGTTTTGCTAAGCCCCCATTTGAATTTGGAAGCGTTCATTCTGAACGTTAGTTTCTTTCACCTTCTGCATGAAAAGCTTAGCAGAACTTTTTTTGGAAAACCTGGTTCTTGGGAATCAACGCCGATAAAACCTGTTTTAGAAAGCGACCATTCCGAGAGAGGCCTTGCTTTGGAGCTGTGGGTACAGACTTTGCTTGGGCCAGCTCTTTGTGAAATTATTAATTGCTGCCATTTTGCTATGTACAACTGCCATTGCTGCCAGGATCTTCAAAACTTAAGAACAAGCAAGGCAAACTCTTGTGGCTGTCAGTCAGCATCACAGCAACATGTCCATGTAAATGCCCAAGTTAAATCATGACGTCCCACTTTCCTTTTAATTCCTTCTCTCTGCTCTGTGTGACACCCTTGGGACTTGACCAGTTCACAACAGCCAAGCACTAGAACCTGAGAGGATTGTGTGCCCCCCTGCCTGCCTCACCTACGGCAGCTTGTGCCACATACAAGATCCCACCTGAGTTCACATCCTCATGGGAAATTCTTTTGCAATGTCTTTTACACATGCTGAGTCTGATTGTATACATTTCTGTGTGTATGCTCTGACTCTTTACATCCAAAGGCAGTGGATGAGTGTTCCCAGCATTGCACATGGGTAATGGTTCCAGTCTTCTGCTGCAGCGAGGAAGCAGTCAGTGCCTTGGAGAAGCCAGATAGCAGCATCACATTAAGACACTGGCAGATGTCTGGTCTTGTGGGACTTCTTCTCTGAGCAATAATTCCAGTACAAGGTAGATCAGGCTTCAATAAATGGAGCCAGCTCCTAATTCCACCAGAAACTGGGGGTTTCAGGCTGTGGGAAAAACTGGACTTTGTTATTTCCTGCAGCTCATGTCTTCATTATTCACTGCAGAGGAGGCTGCCATAATGAGTCAACATCATCAAAATATTTCCATAGTAGAAATCCTCTGCACATTGCTGACTGGGAGCTCAGGGATTTTTTATTAATCTAATTATTTTATTATTATGATAACATCTTTGATCCCAAAGCATATTGACAAATTCTGGTGGAGATTATCATAAAGACAATAGAAAATATAGAGATTATCTCAGTACTGGAGAACTTCCAGTATAAATCTTGTCCCCTCCATGGTGATGCCAGTTGCAGGCATCTTTAGCTGAGTGTTTTTGTCTTCTCTGAAGCCATAAATTCATTTGTACTGTTCATTTGTGGACAATATGGTCAAATCCATGTACCCCCATGAAACAACATGGTTTATCTCTCGCAGAACAGTCTTTTCCCCGATATGCTGACTTATCTTAATGCATTTATAAAACACCCAAGAGACAATGAAGCACTGTATAATCATAATTCCAGATAAACATTGGCTGCCCAGAATATGCCAATGAGCCTGTGAGAAAGGGCACAAGCATCCCATTGTCCTGCAGAACAAAAGGAAACAATTCTAAATATAAAGGAAAAGCAGGAGGAAAAAATAAATGCCTACATATATAATTTTGCTGCCATTAGCTGTCTTACCACTCTTCTGTTTATCAGTGTGAATAGTCCCTGCAGCCCTGTGTCTCTGAAGTTCAATATTCCTATACATATTTAGAAATGCATCAGACCATTGACCTTGTTTTGGTGGGTTTACCTGAGGCATTGTTGAAAGCTGGTTCTTTGTTTTTCTCCCTCTTTGAAGACTGAGTGTTTATAATCACACCCTGGATATTAAATGAAAGGCATGAAATCTGAATCCTTTACTCCCACCCTTCAGATTCTGTTCGCATAGAAGTCTCACTGATACAAGTAAGCACTGAAGAAAGCAAAGCTGTCAGCATTTGGGGGACTATCATAAATTCTGTTTGTGTTGTTTCTTTGTGGTTTTTTGGGTTTGGGGTTTGGTTTTTTGTTTCTGGGTTTGGGGATTTTTTTGGTGGGGTTTTTTGTTTTGTTTTGTTTTGTTTTTTGTTAAAGAAAATGTTAGTATGCAATGCTTTACTCAAGCAGCCCCTTCTTTCCTGGGAATTTTGGATCCAAAGAGTACATTACGCAGGACCCAGAGATTAATTTGTTCTTGCTAGTCAAATCTGTGTAATGTGACCACGTGTAAGGTTGATGGCACATCCTGATAAGTTCATTTCAAAGGTCTTAGGAGTACTTATTGGCTTATCCTAAATTGTCTGAGAACTTTTCATTACATCCCCAGGATTTGGTATTTTTAATTACTGTTCTTTGAAATTGAGGGCA